TTTCCAAAAACGACCATTCGCTTAGATTTGCTATCTTTGGTTTGCTATTTATCATGAGGCCCTCAAAATGGTGATTGCTCTCATTAGAAGGAATATTTAGGTGCGTGAATAGGTTCTTGCCCTCTTTGTTTAACTGCTCTGAAGTCCTACCCACATATTTTCGAATGTGATATACTTACCGTCACGGGTTGGTTGGTATATTCCTATTTTTTTCAAGAATTCTTCTAAGCTCCCTAGTTTAGTGCAGATGTTTGATTCATTGCTGGTATTGAATTGGATCAGCATCTTGAATATATATAAAAAAATCTTTACTTGCTTAGGTTTTGGTATGTTATACCACCTTGGCGGGAAATGAATGAAAGGAAATTATTTCTCAGCTTTGTTGTGCGCATCTTTGTGCGTGTAAAAATTTTAACGCTTAGTACATCTTCTAGTGGAAAATTTTTAAATTCATTAAAAGGAAAGGGTTCTTTTTTTCTAGCATGTTAGTGGCTTATGGTTTGTGGTTCTGATGCCGCCTTTTGCTGGTTTGAATTTGACATCTTCTTGGTTCATCTCAATAATCGATTTTGAGAGACTCTGTTTTTTCGATTTGACTCTTTGTTTATTGTGAGCAGCTTCCCCTTCATGGCCCGTTATATGACGCTCTCAATAAATTTTTTAGTTTGGCAGTTTTGCCAATTTGGGGCCATTGACCAATGATGATTTCCTTCCTATTAATCTCTCCCCTTGGAAGGTCTTGGGCAAAACAGGAAGATGTAGATGCTCGTGATCCGTATGCTCTGCTTGATTGATTATCTTTTTTAAACTCCTAAGTCTGTCTTTATGGCCATTATTTTTTTGTTTCTCTCGACTTTACTGTCCACAATTATTTTAAGGATAGTTTTGTTCATCCATTTTTCTGGATTGTGAGCTCCCTTCTTTTATCGAGAGAACTACAATTTTTTTTACCAATATTAGCACTTTTTTTTGTAATTTCATTTGCAAATGAATAAGGCTATCCCTTTAATTTAAATATTATATATATACCATATTATTATGTTTTGAAAGACTGGAATATGTACATCAAATCCGTTGGCTGCAATTCCCGTGCAGCCCGTGCATATTCGCACAAAGACGGTTACCTATGTGACAACACATCTATTGAGCTGTCACAAATTTAAATTACGCGTTGTAAGATATTATTCACTTGTATGTGTCATGCACTTGATCAAAGCTCTTCTCTCTCTCCACACCAAATTTCCCAAACTTCGTACTCTCTTCTCTTTCTTTCCTCCCCGCTTATATATTAAGCCAGTTCAACAGGTACAACAAGTATCCGTGGCTTCCATCAGTTCTCTTCAGTACCCCCAACAGGCCCGCCCAAACTCATTGCAACCCCACCAGCGCGAGCTTGGTTCCATGCCAGGCATTACCCACAAATATATACCGACGTCGATAGGCCGCATCACAGCGAAGGTCAGTCTGCAATGCGAGCTCTCCCGGCATGCTTCACCATGCGGTTGCGCCGAACCAGAATGGCGCGGTAACGATCATAGAGGAGGGCTCATCAGTGAAAATAGAAACATGAGTTTTGGGCAAGCCCCGCGGGCTTATGCTTGCAAATAAGTACAGAGGCTTCAACCATTTGTTAAGATGTGTGGAGGATGGAGTGGATGACCCGAGAAAGGTCGTTCATGGGCTCAAGTCGTGTTTCGCTGCCCGTTGTCTCTCTCTTCTACTACCTGAGGCCTCCTATGATCGGGCGTCGGTCGCGCGGCTATGTGGGGCCGTTATGACCGTTGGTGTCATATTTGAGTACAGCAGTAGGTAGGGCAATTAATTAAACGGTAGATATACCTCAAAGTATTATTAATATAGCACATCAACATGATAAAATTAAATTAATAAAGTCAGTAATTTTATGTATGGATATAGGTGGAGTTTGTACAAGGCCTGACGGGCAGACGGCGACGCTCATCGGGCGGCGGGAGCACTTGCCCGTCAGAGAGTCCACTAATATTGCGAGCCAGACCGACGAGGTCATGGCGAGCTCGTGATTCGTAATAGCTCAGTTTTGCACATCTCTGTAGATTAATCTTTATCAGTAAATAGTTTATTAGAAAATATTTCATTTTATTACAAGAATATATATTAAATAATATAGTTGTCATTTTTTATAATTTCCTTTCTAAATTCTTTAGATATTTTTATATACAATTGGAAATTAAGGTAAGTTGATGCATCTGAATTTAAAATGGCATTTCAAACATTAAAAAAGAAAATCTAAACTTAGACAATTGCTTATTTTAATGGCTTTATATAACATTGCAATATATTTCTTGTTTCTTCGGATTTAGTCTGCATTGACTAGTTTAAAATATATTAATTAATATTAAAATATTAAAAAAAAAAATATTATAATATATAGAATAGCATAATTTAAATTTTATTTTAATTTTATCCTTCCTAACACAGTATTATTATCCTAATTAAGCATGTGAACGTGGCAAGCAAAGAGAAGTGCGCGTGCGTGCTTTGTAGCCGGATGGGCACCAAAAGCCGCTGGTGGCCTGGTGCACCTATCAATTTCATTTTAGTTATAGTTTAGCACTTTTCATATAAATCTGACAAAATAACGCTAGTTTGTAAGATAGTGCAGCTGGCAATTTTATTATGTATTTATTATTACATTTTTATATATAATTACTTAATTAATTAAAATTAATAATACATCATAATATAAAATAAAATTGACCAAAATCATAAAAAGACTGGGTAACTACATGTCACCTTCTAATTAATCTCTCTTGCCATATTCCTTTTTTTTTTAACTTTGAATAGATAGATTTAAATATATATAACTCTTTATTATAGCATAAAAATAATGATTGGATGATCATTAAGACTATATCTTGGAGACTTTTTTTATAATTTTATCTTACAGATCAGTACTATATTTTTATTTTTTATGACATTTTGTCATTTTCATTGTTTTTGTCATAAAAATTTTTTTTTTAACTTTGAATAGATAGATTTAAATATATATAACTCTTTATTATAGCATAAAAATAATGATTGGATGATCATTAAGACTATATCTTGGAGACTTTTTTTATAATTTTATCTTACAGATCAGTACTATATTTTTATTTTTTATGACATTTTGTCATTTTCATTGTTTTTGTCATAAAAATAAAGCTTTTTAAATATTTATACTACAATGTAGTAGACTTAAATAAACTGATCAAAAAATAAATATTTAGAATTTTTTGGGATAATTTTTTAACCATTTTATTTTTTACACATTAATTTTATTTTATTTTTTGCTATTTTTTTCTTATTATTATTTTTCAGAAATTTTTACGTTGTAATCAGAATAGCTAAATTATTTTTCCAACAAACTTCACAATCAACTGTATAGAACGCTCCAGCTGTCTCAAGCAGACTCATAATTATATATTATTCAGCCATTTAAATTAAACTTGCATTTTGCCACGATTAGTCAATTTATTTATTCACACGCATGCTCATTAGAATGTGTTCAATGACTCATAATTCACAACTACTGTTAGTGCACCAACAAGTAATAGTGCATCGGATCAATATTAATTAGTCTATAATTATATTTTAATTAATTGTTTTAATTTTGTATCATTTGATGCTAATCCTAAATTAAATGATGAATTTGAACAGCCTCAGTGGTGACTTTCTCTCGATTCGTTCCGGCGATCAAAAGAAGATTTGACTATGGAGCCACAATCTTCATCCTGACCTTCAGTCTCGTCGCAGTTTCGGGTTACCGAGTCGACCAACTCATTAATTTGGCTCAGCAGCGGCTCAGCACAATTGCGATTGGGATATCGATATGTCTCATGGTTTGTATGCTGATATGTCCGGTCTGGGCCGGGTCTGATCTGCACTACCTAATTATTAAAAATATGGACAAACTTGCAGAGTCATTAGAAGGTCTATATATTTATATTTTAATTATTTTAATTTAGTGTTAATTAATCTCACGATCGAATGCTAATTAATAGTTAATTGCATTTGTGGGTTCATCAGGCTGCGTGGAGGAGTATTTCAGTGGGAAGGAAGCTCAGAAGGCGCGTGGCTACAAGTGCGTTATTAACTCCAAATTATCGGAGGACTCTTTGGTAAGTTCTTAAGTGAATCGATAAGATTTAAAAACTGATTAATATTTTTTGTTTATCAGAAAATTAATTAGTAAAAAAATGATTAAAATATCTTGATCCAAACTTAATTAGTAAAAATTTTATTTGGTTAAATAGGCAAATCTAGCAGCATGGGAGCCCGCCCATGGTCCTTTTGGGTTCCGGCATCCATGGAGCCAATACCAGCAGGTTGGTGCAGCGATGAGGTCCTGTGCTTACTGCATCGAAGCCCTCCACAGCTCTTCTCACTCTGAAATCCAGGTACTTAATTAAAGCTATATATAGTTACTTAATTATCATCTAATTAATTATAATTACTTAATTAAGGCTTATATATATTATAATGATATATAGGCTCCTGAGTTAATGAAGAGACATCTCAGTGAAGCCTGTATAAAGCTGAGCTCAAAATCATCAGGAGTATTGAAAGAACTTTCAGCCTGTATGGAATCCATGCAAAGCTCAGAATGCTTAAGTGATATGGTTAAAGAGATGAAGGAAGCAGTGGAAGAGGTGAAGAGCGCCATGAAATCTCTCCCAACCCAATGTAATAATGAAATAGGGTTGGAGAAAGATGATGACAATATGGTGATGAAGAGACAGTCTTTGATGGAATCTATGCCATTGGTGACTTTTGTCTCCCTTCTAATGGAGATCTCCGTTAAGGTTGAAGGGGTTGTAGAGGCAGTCGAGAAGCTTGGCAGCCTTGCTGAATTTAAGCCTTCGGGCAGCAAATTTTAGTTATGTAAAACTCAGGAGGATGGTCCATCAGATGGGTATATATAAAAAGTAATGTCAGTGCTCATTATCATGGCTGATACAACACATCAGACCATCAACATGTACATTCATGCATGATGCATGCATCATACGAATATTGTATATTTACGATTTTGTCTCGATTGAAAGCAGGTGCACCAGCAAAATTTTAATAAAGTTCTGAACTTTGACATAAATCCTATTTCTACTAAATGTTTTCTCTGTTCTTTCGAAGGCACTGAGATTGAGATTATGAGATTTGACACTACTAAAAAATAGAGCTTTCGCAATACAAATTTGAACTTTTCCTGACAGTTTTACCCGCCAATACTATTTTTGCAGTGGTTTTATAACCGCTTGATGTCTGCCGTGATTACAATGTGTTGCAATGATATTCAGCAGCAGTTTCAGGACCAACAGGGTATAAGTAACGAATGCTGAATTTAGCAGCGGTTATAACCGATACGATGTAGCATAACTGCAACGGTCATAACCATCACAGTGATAATAAAAAAAAAAAAGCGAAATTTCACAACGATTTTAAAACCGCCCTAAATATATGTTGCGGAAAAAAAAACATCTTTTTGGTAGTGCGAATAACACCCATAGCTGATCATTACTTATTTAGTTGATCTCTCGAATCGAGTTGCGTTCCGGTGCCGACCACTCAATTCCACCTCTCGAATCGAATTGCACAGTCCTTTCATTTACTTGCTCTTCACAAAATTTAGACAAGTTGACTTGAGCAATTGGTTCCGATTTTCTTCAATTTTTATAAATTTGCGCTTTATATTTATATTTAAGTTTCGTACGTTATAATTTGGTTGAGCAGATCATTAATATTTATATTTTTCTATCAGTTAGTGAGCACAAATATATTTTTCTCCGAATTTTAAAAAATAAAATTGCTCTATGAGTTGGAATAGTTAGAGCTTCATTTTAAGGCTTTGTTTGCGACGGCTTTCTTAATGCTACTTAAAGTTATTTTTTAGCACTAAAATTAATTTTTTTTAAAGTAAAAAGTCGTTTTACGAGCAATAAGAAAGATGTTCCAAATGTTGCCTAACTCTAATTAATTTTAGATTTGAGAACTAGCAGCATTTAAACTGGCCACCGTTATATTTCATATATTATAGTGATTAAGGTTTCATTTTGTACGAATTTTTAATAATTTTTAAAAATATGTTTTTAATAAAGTAAGAAAATCATCTCAAATGAGATAAATTATTATGTGCGGAGTTCTGATAGAAAGTTTGTCTGGATTTTTTTTTTTTTTTTTTTGGGAATTTTGGGGCATAGCCCGTATATTGATCAAAAGGTGGTTACATGTGAGGTAAAATTAGCATTAAAAACATAAAGAGGATGGACAAACATCAAGGCCCAGGGAAAAAAACAGCAAAATTGCTACAAAAGGCTCAGTAAAAAACCGAACTGAGGAGAAAGCTGAAGAACTTCAGCGCCAAAGGCTAACGAACCATCTCCCGGTTACCACCAAAAGCCACAGAAATAATAGTCCAAGGGTGCAGAAAAATAATGCCAGGCCAAAATTGGACCAAGAGGGCCAATAAGAGGCCATCTAGGGAGAACCAAAAAACCTCAGTTCAGCACATCATAGCCCGGTAGCAGATGTCTGATTCACCTGGAGCCCATTTTGATGGTTAAAGCAAGAGGGGAAGGAGGCAGCGAAATTCTCCCAGTTTTTTCATCTGCGGGATTTAAGAGATATAGCCGAGGCTACCAGGTTTAGCACAGCCATAGGAGAAGCCTTCTTCTGCAAAAATCTTCTACTGTTTCTTTCACGCCAAATGAAGTAAACCAGAAAACAAATCACTAAAAAACTGAAATTCTTGTCATTTGAATTAAACCTCTGAACTTCATCCAAAAATTCAAAAATCTGAAAGATAGTAGGCCTCAACAGGAAATTTCCAACATCCGGAATCAGACTATGTAGCACCTCAAAAGAAAATTCACATTTAAAAAATAAATACAAAGTGCTTTCTTCTTCTCTTTCACAAAGAGGGCAAATAGGATTAATAAAGATGTTACGCTTGCTAGCTTAAGATGTCAGCCGTTTTAAGCCCTTCCATAACCGCAAGCCAAGCATAAGATGAGTAACGAATAACATAATGTTTGTGCCAAATAAACTTGTGTCAAGGGAATTTCCCATGATCAACAAAATAAAGCATTTTAAAAGTTTTAAAATTAGGCTTTCCCTCTCCAATCCAAGAGATATTCCAGTTGTCATCAGAAAAGGGAACGGAATCCACAAATGTGTAAACCTCATCAGATAGCCTTCCCCTAAAGTTCCAAATACCATTAATGATAAAATCCTTCACCTCAAAGTTTGCATAATGGAGGTGAGGAAACAAATCATGTAAAGATTTGCCATTAAGCCAAGGATCCCAAGTCAAAGAAAGATTGATGTTTATATTTATAATATGAAACTGAATAAGGTGCTTAATACGAGCAGCAACTAAGCAGATGGTTTTCCAAAAAGTGGAAGCAGATTTAGGTGGAGGCTTGTAAGGGGAGTGGAATTTAGACTTGAGCCATTTAGAGGTGAGAGTGCTGGTGTTGTAAAATCTCCAAATAAAGCTACAATTGCGCCCAAATTGAATGGAGTACTTGATATCGGGAATGCCTAAACCACCAAAACAGGTCGGTAAGCACGTTTTTCTCCAGGCTATAAGATGCAGCTTCTTCTCGGTGGCAGATCCATGATAAAGGAATTTGGCACACATTCTATCAATACATTTGCAACAACTTTTAGGTATTATCGCACCCCGAATCCAATATGCAATAGTATTGGCAATGGTAAATTTGAGATATTGAATGCGCCCTGCAAAAGACAAAAACTTAATTTTCCAACCAGCAAGTAGAGCAGAAAGTCTGCTCAGGAGTGGTTGGAAGTAAGTAGAGGTCAATCTTTTAGTAGAAATGGGGATGCCAAGGTATTTCAGGAATACATAAGAGGAGGTGAAACCAAGAGTTCTTTTAATGTCATCAGTCATGGAGGAAGAATGTGAGAAAAGGATGGAACATTTGTTTTTGTTAACCTGGAGGCCAGAGCAAGTAGCAAATAACTCCAAAGTATCATTAAGAGCCAAAGCATTAATAAGGGTGGCCGGGCTAAAAACAAGCACATCATCAGCATAAAGTAAGTGATTATAAGCATTGGGATCATTCGTAATACCACAAAATCTCCCAGCATCAAGAGCACAAGATAAAGCATCCATGGCAATGGAAAATAAAAGAGGAGACAGCGGCAGCCCTGCCGAAGGCCAGACGACGATTGAAAGAAACCCTCTAAGGCACCATTGATACAGACATAACACTACAGGAAAATCACTGATTTCCGGCGGAATTTTCCGACGGCTTTCCGGCGGCTTTCCATGCAACCTTTAACCCAGGAAATGAACTTCAGAGGAAATCCTTTCTCATGTAAGCGAGCAATAATAAAGTCTCTTGAGACGGAGTCAAAAGCTTTTTGAATGTCAAGCTTAGCACAAAAGAACTCTTTATCCTTTCTAGAGCCAAAATCCCTCAAGATTTTATTAGCCAAAATGATAATATTCGAAGATACCCTTTTTTTAATGAAACCGGCTTGACTCTCATGGATAATGAGGGGCGTGATCTCTTTCATACGATTGGCTAAAAGCTTAACAATGATTTTGTAGAAGGTATTGCATAAAGAAATAGACCTATAATCAGTGATATGGGTGGCATAGGAGTTTTTGGGAATAAGAACAATAGCCGTAGCTTTCACAGAGTTGTGAAGGGTGTCGTCCTTGAAAAAATTTTTAATAGCTTGACATACATAGAAACCAGTAATCTCCCAGGAGTGTTTGTAAAATTCAAATATGAAGCCATCAGGCTCCGAAGCAGAGCCAGTTGCCCCAGCAAAAACCACCTCTTTAATTTCCAGATCAGTGACAGGAGCAATCAGGCCGTGAGTGAGGTTGTTAGGAATAATGTTGCCTTTGGGGATAAAGATGGAACTTGAGTTATCCGGACTAGGGAGATTAAAGATCTCTTTAAAGTAATCAACCGTGGCCTTAACAATATCATAATGGCTGGAAAAACGCCCAGCATAAGTAGAGATCTCCTTGATCTTATTGATGTTACTCCTGTTTTTTATTCTAGCATACAGGAATCCTAAGTCATCTTCCCCGTTAGATATCCATTTTTCATTGGCTCTTTGCATAATCCAGGAAGCCCAAGCCTTATGAAAGAAGCTTAAAGAGGAGTTAATGTGATTAAGGTTGACAGCAAGCTGAGAATCAATCGGATGGAGATGGATCTGTTCCATGATAAGTTTTTGATTGTTTTCAAGGCACACAATTTTCTCTTTTAGGAAATCAGAATTGCTCCAAATATTATGCACGTAAAATTTATTTTTTTTGTACGCAGTATTTAAAAATATTATATATACTTACAGTTAGGATGAAAACTTCCCATCAAGACTCTGCATAGAATAATTTATCCTCACTGTAACAAATGCCGTTTAATTTGTCTATTTCGCCTAGCCGGACCTTCCCATCTTCCTGGAATCCCGAAATCCCAAATTGAGTGGCCTTCTCCATTGAGGCCACTACAAGTCTACAACTGAATTTTTAAATGAAATCAAACATTTTTTTTCTGTAAGTACCATCAGATATTAATATTTTTTATCATGAATATTTAAAAATGTACTAGAATTTAAGGTGTGTAACGTCATGATAAGAACCCCAAACCGGCCAACCCGTCCTCGATTCCTCATGACTGATAGCGCCTCTTAAAGGGGACTCAATTAAGTGTGGGCCAAGAAGTTTCTAGAGTGGGTGCCTCTTTTAGATCAGTAGTAGATTAGTTATGCCGCCAAATTTCCTTTATGGGGTGACAGCGAATGGATACCTCGCCCTAAAAAAAAACTCATGATTACGGTGCAAAATAAGATGATTACTGGACCCCTTTGTACAGCAGGGACGTACACAAAAACTAGATAGTATTAATAATTAAGCTCATGATTATGGGTGCAAAGTATGATAATTACTGGATGCTTATGCACGTACGTTTAGTGCTAATTAGGTATAGTGATGCATGCATGCGATGGATCGCAATATGAGGAGCAAATGGAGGTTAATTATTTTTAATCAATTATATTATTGTTAATATAATACTATTTCTTTGATTAGTGGCTGTAATTAAGGGAGAGTTTGCAGATGATTTGGATTTGTAGCACTGCCTTCATTTCACATGAGGAAAAGAAGCTTTCTGTGCGTCATTGAAACCTCCATTGGCGCGTCGTGCCAATACTACAGTAAATTGTTTGGTCGAGTGACCCGACCTGCTCCTTAATCCTTTTATATTTCGCTGCTTTGATTATGAGGTTTGAGAAAGAAGATAACTGAGTCAGAGAGATCAATGGAAAGATCATTGTTGAATTGCTATTATATTGGTTTTTGGTGTAGATTGTCCTCTGGGATATTTTGATCAAAATTTTGCCAGGGATGGGTCATAAAGCTCTTAGATCTGCCTTAGAACTTGTGTTGTTCTAATTATTCATGTATTATACTCTTCTTCTCATAGTAGATAAAAAAACTATGAGATTCATCACAATCATTTATTTATTGGTATCCAGATACCAAAATCACCCACCGAGGTTTATGGTGGTTGGTGGTTGAGCACGGTTGGGAACTCCCCATCCCGGGTTCGAATACGCGCTAATATGGCTTCGCCTCTTTAGTGGGGCAAAGCAAGTGTGACCCCGATGCTGGTGGTTGACCACAATAGATTCCGCCGAGGGATTAGTTATGCCGTCAAGCGCTCCCTTTAGAGTGGCAGTGATTAGATACCCCATTCCCTAAAAAAAAAAATCCTATTTTTGAGTTAGTAGTCAATCTTTTCATGCTGCTAGTTCAAAGGAAGTGTTTAATTTGTTGTTGACTTCTCCAATCCCTTCGTCTAATTAGGCCTTCAAACGGATTGAGCTGAGCTGGACCAAGTAATGAAGATACATCTAATATTTAAGATAATTATTGTTATCCTTAAATTATGAGTAATTGAGATTAAGATTTGGTGTTCAATTATAGTTAACCATTAATTATCTATGTGATTAACTTTTTTATAATTTAGTTAATTAGAGATTTAGAGGATTCTACATTAATTAGAGTTAAGATAATAATTCTTAACTTTTTTGAGTACTTCCACTCATATTTGATCAAAATTATGAGTTAGGCATTGGATTTTTTAATAAGCTCCTGCTACCAAAGCCACTCTGAAGAATTCATATTAATCTATTTGTACTTCGATGGCTCTATTGGAGAATTAATCAATCAATAATTTTCTACATAAATATATTATTATTTAGGGGATTTACATACATATTACTTTATTTCATGCTATTTAAATATCTAATATCAAAAATTTTAATATTATATTTCTATCATCTATAGAACAAATATAAGTGCATGTAATGAAATATTAAAGTTTATGAAGTTATATGGGTGGTAAGAATGAAATATGAGAATGTTATATTTGATGTTAAAATTTTATATGAATGGTAGGAATGTAATATTAAAATTTTAGGTAATAGATAAGTAAATAACATGAAATGAAGTAGTATGTATGTAAATATCGCTATTATGTTTATATATTTTTATAAGGTTAATGAAACTTAATAGGCCCATTAGACAATTGAAAATATTTTGTTTCTTATTAAAGCCCATTTATTAATCTAGAAGCCCAAAATGACCGAGCTCAAATGATTTGAAGAGGAGGCGGATCAGGTCTCTTTTTGAGCCGTTAAAATTTCCAATTTCAAAATAAATCATCAGTATTGTTTCGTAAACAAACTCTTCTCAGATAGCTTGGCTCGGCTGAGCCAGTTAACTCTTTTGCTTTCGAAGGCTATTCAATTGGGCTTTATTAGGACTTATTCTTAGCATAGATGGGCCTCCAATTGAAGTTACGAAAAGAACCATGGTTGAGCCCATTGTAAAAAAAAACTCTATTAAAATATTCATTTGTTTGTGGCCAGCAAATATATGCAAAAGAGAAGCTCTTAAAATTAGTTAAAATATAAATTTGTTTAATATATAAAAATAATCCTTTTTTTTTCACGAAATGCTCTAATTTTAATTGTTTAGCTTTTATGTCATGATTAGACATAAAAGCTAAATAGTTAAAATTAAAATTGTGAGTTCCATTCATGTTCATTAATGTCCTATTATATTTTTTTGGCTGCAAGTGTTCTTTTGCTATTTAAGGAGTGCATAGAAAACATTTGAAATATATTTATAGAGCTTTTTCTTGTGTTATTTAAAATATTTTGGTCATGTATGAAAAAGTTAAAAGGCATGCCCAACAAAGAAATGTTTGATGATGCAAGCCGAAGAATGCATGCATGTATAACACGAGTCGGTGCCAGTCCGTTGGAGGAAAAGACGAATGCGAATGAGATCTTTAGGTGTTGTGTCCATACATGGTTAGAAGATGAGGATGATTGCATGAGAAATATGCATGCTGAGTTGATCAGGGTCAAACTTTACTGGACAAAAGATTTCTTAAATGTCGTAGGTTGGAAATCTCTTTTCTACGATAGCTATATAGTGCGGCGAAAGATTTCTTTGAATAGCGCATTCAAATATTTCTTTTTGTTGTCATATACACTTAACAAAACCCCAAAAAAAAACCCACCACCTACAATAGCTTTCTTACTGTTTTCTAAAGCAGCTTTTTGCACAAATATTTTATATACAAGAAATTAATTAAAAAAGCTGTCCCAAACGAAGCCTAAGAGGCCAAACTCCGTTGTCATCAATTTGTGCATATATTGTAATTTGAAAGGTTGATTTGGAACGGTTGCAATTTTTTATAAAAGTGATTCTAAAGCTATTATGATTGGAAGTTCTTTTTTTTAACTGCTATACAAAACATTTATTAACACAAAAATTTCTTGAAAAAAAAAAACAGTAGTCAATTAAAATTATGATTCCAACCTAAGAAACAAAGCATAAAGACAATTTTACTCGGCTTCGATTGGGATAGCTTTCTTATTGCTTTGCTTTATAGACAACAACCATAATTTTTATTTGTTCATAGGTTTTTTATTGCTTTCAAAAAAATTGTCTATTTAGTCTTTGATATGCATAAAGAGGTAGATGTAGAACTAAAAAGAGTTGGTTAGAAAATATTAGAAATGATCTTTTTTTATTAGATTTAAACGAGAATTTAACTTTTAACATTACATAATGGAGAAAAAAGATTCATATAGATAACCCCACATAGTGGGACAAAGACTTTATGTTGTTGTTGTCATCATCGTCTGTCTTGGAATGAGATTGAAGGTGGCAGATATTTCTACTTGCAAAGCCAAAGAAAAGTTGTCAGAGGAGATGCATGTTGGGAAATTTCTATATGTGGGCCAATATATTTTATACATATAAATAAAGAATTATACATTAGACGCTATCTAAAATTAAGCCAATTAAATTTGTGATCTAATTGAGTATTAAATTATTATTTGGCTTATGTGGCATCTCAATTAATTTTGTATGGAATTAATTTGTGTAGAGGCCGGGTATTTATTTTATTTTTATGATGGGCTGAAATAAAATATTTACACTTAAAGTATATAAGGGTCATGGTCCCCAGTTTAAGCGGTTAAGTTCTCATTTCTCTCATTTCCCATCTTGAGTGAAAAGAAGGGGTCTCTCGCTCTCTTGGAGAACGCCGCTCTAAACGTGGAAGATCGAAAGACCTTGATTTTGTATTTCAATGGATTCAGGTACGCTTCCGAAAACTTCTTCTCGATGATTTGGCATGTCGTTCGGAGATGATCAAATTGATTTTTGTGTCTCCTTTAAATCCTAACAAGTGGTATCAGAGCCCGATTATCATGTTGAATCAACGAGAAATGATTTTCTATAATCATGTTATTGATTAGTTCTATTTTTCGATCACTAGAAATCTTCTTTTGAGAATGATTTTTCCGGTCAAATAAGTTCTTTTTCTTTTGAAAATTCTGTTTCATATATGTGAAATAACTGTTGACTGAAGTTCCTTGTTCCATTGTTTTTTGAACAATGGATTCAGTAATCAAATATGCTCTTTAATCGATGGATTTCGATTATGCAATTGGTTCTTCTCCGTAAAACATGTCAGTTATTTTTTGGCTTTATTTTCCAAACGTCACAACCATTGGGTGAAGAGTTCATATGTTAATTTTTTACGTTGCAGTTATAATATAACTTCCATTGTTATTATTTTTAATAGTTATGCAATTTTGCAAACTAATTATTTAGTTCATGGAAGTATTTGAATAGACGCATCTATTGGCTACTTTAACGTCTCATTTTAATTTTGACGTTTCTAATGTATAAATGTTAATTATTTAACACATAGCTGGCTAGTTCAAGCCGGAATTGAAAATGAGTCTATACTTTTATAACTGCTTGTTCCTTGATAAAGTTTTCTAGAACTTTGATGCTTTGTAAATCGATACAAGCCATTAGTAATTAATTTATTATATCTCCATATTATATTTCCTGTATTGGATTGAGTGGCTTTTGATTTCTTCTTGCAATAAATGAGAGATACTTACCTTATTTTTTTATGAGAATATTTCTCATTTGATATTATTATTTATTAATTTGAAATTAAATTAAATTGAAATAATATGTTACCAAAGTGACCTCTATTAGATCAATTTATTTAATTTAAAATTATTTGAATAATGCTAAG